CAGCCCTGCTTTAAATAAAGTGTGTGTTGCAAAACAACAGGAGTTGGGTTTTATGATATTTTAATGTCCTGGGGTTATCCCCTCCAGATTTCTGACCAGGACTTTGGAACAACACAAGAACGTATCTTACCCTGAGCCCAGTGCATGCTGGATGGGCCTTTGGGAACGCGGTAGCACTGCGTGGATATTAATGCAGCGTGGGCAACCAAATTAGCTCATATTCATGTACCAAGCCTCAGTGCTTTGGTTTTAAAGAGATCTCAATAATCTGGAATATAACAGTCCTCAGAGGTTCATATCTGAGGAGTCCTCAGAATGAGTAAATACACCAACTGAAAAACCTACTTGCCGGGGTGTCAGATTGGAGATGGCAAATAGCTGCTGTTGCCAACCATACCACTGGCCCCACTCTACGGCCTGCCTGTTCCGATGGCCCGGATTCACCACGGTACTAAGGCACACCGTAACTTTAAGCATGTGTTTGGTCCCTTGATCTATTTTTAGTGACTATCTTCTCCCCACCTCCACTTCTCCCCTAATGTATTTCAGTTGTGACTCCCCCTACACGCACGCACACAAAGTGGTGTCCTTTAAAAACTGCATTTAAAGTCCTTCCAGGAAGATGGGTGAAATTTCTTCTTCAGATTCGTCTTTATTACAGCATATTTGTTGATTGTTTCCTCTCCTGTTACCCTAGAAAGGTGGCATGTGTTTTCCTGAACTAAGCTGGATTTGATCCAGTGCCATAGAAGTGAAGGCTATCGTAACATGCTACCGTGATGGAACATCTGGCAACTCTGCTGAGGTCCAGCATATGCATCCCCCTAGCCTGGAAGATTGAGTTGCATTTCCCCCCAAGATTTTTCTTGAACAGAATGCTTCACTTTTGCTAAAAGAATGTACCGTCCAGCACACACACACTACTAGTTAATTACAGATGGTCAATTTTGTCATAGGTCTTTGTCATCTAGCAAGATCAAGAATGATTGAAGGAACACATCGAAAGCTCCCAGCAATCTGCTCTCATGTCTTTACAACTTTACCAATCCCTGTTTGATCTATGCTTGCAATAATGGCTTCTAGGAAAAGTTCCAGGTGATCTGTTACATGGCTGGGGTAGCCAGTAATGCAGTTAGGCTGCTCCTGGGTTATGAGCCTCAGGTCTGGGCTCCGGATGTGGGAAGTCTGAAAGAAAGCCACCCCTGGCTATAGCGCTCCCCGTCTCCGGTAAGGGAAAAAGACAAGAGTAAAACATAAGATAGCTTCAATGCTTCCACCACTGCTGCTCTTGCTCGCTCACTGCCCCAGTGGCAGGAGTGTTCATCTGATGTGACTGTGAGAAGCTGCTGTCTTTGGTTATTTAAGCTCGTGAAGCCAGCCAGGTAGATTTACATTTTCATCTACTGCAGCTGAGAAAATGGGAACAGGTGCTTGCTGGGGCCTGGACCACACAGATATTACAGAGATGAGGCTCTGAACCACTTTTCTCCATGGGCTGCTGGTGCCACTAATTCCTACCGATGTGCGCCGCTGTCCTGTGTCCTACCTTCCAGGCTGGGAAGGGATGTAGTATATTGGTCTGATCACAGGCCTGGGAACCAGGAACACCTGATTTCTCATCCCAGCTCTGTCATGGCCTCCTTGGTGGCCTTGGCTAAATGGCCTAATTTTCAGTTCCCTCATGGTATTACAATGATTTTCCTCCTGGGGTGTTATGAGTGTTAAAGGGCCTGATCCTGCAACCCTTTGCTCACACAATTCACTTGAGTTCTGTGAGACTGTGAGTGAGGATTACTCAGGTACGATTTCTGGGTTTGGGCTCAAAATGCTTCAAAGGTGAACTGCGCTGTGTACTGTCTAAGGATTTGTATGTATTCACATAACATTGCATTATTTTCCCTTTGAAATGGGATGCTTTCTTGCCCCTCTCTTTAAGAATCTTAGCCCACCAGCGTGACGGCTTGCACACAGCTCTCTGAAACATAGGACATGGTCCCTGCCTGTGGCCTTGCTCCTCGGCGCTTTCTGTCCCTTCTCCACTTGACGCCTGCAGCATGGAATCATTGCTCCTGCTGCTCCATGCTGCACTGGGTCTGGGGTCTGCACTGCTGTGGAGTGGGGGAGCGGAGTGGGGAGCAGCATCCCCACACTATGGGCCGGCTGGGGTGGAAGCTCCCTACAGCTTGTAGTGGCAGCGTGACGAAGCAGTAACTGGTCAAAGGGACCCAAAGGGGTGTGACCTGTGGCACCAGGGGTACGTGGTCGCCGGTGATTGCACACCCGGCTGCTTTGCTGCGGGACAGCTGCGGTGCAGAGGGCCACACGCAGGAACAGTTCCAGAAATCCTAAATCTCCACGGCTATCTCTAGTTTGGCTATTTCCTTATGGCCTGGACCTCCAGTGACCTCTCTCGATCAAATCTTCAGTGTGAAAGAGAGTTGGATGGGCCAGGGAGGGATCAGTATTCAAAGCTTTTGCTGAGGCTGCTAAGATAAGGGCAGCGAAGCCAACATCAAGTACTTCAGTGATCAAACCCTGAATGGGTCAGCTCCTGGCTTTCCTTCTCATCAGGATTAAAGGGGGATGGAAGCGGGGGGTGGGGGTCATTACACAGGAACACACTCAGAGATACAGGGCTGAGAGTTCCCGGTTTCTCTGTCTTGTTTATGATAAATAATTGCCATGAGCAATTAGTGGTTTGCTCCCCATTTGGAAGCCTCCATTTGGAGTGATCTAAGAAACAATTAAACAGAATATGGTCGCTTGAAATAGTCCCACAAAGAGCTGTTTTGTACAGTCATCCCGTTCCATGCCAGGATCTCAAAGTGCTCTAAACATACCAGTGATTGGAGCCTCACACCAGCCGTGGGCAGTGGGGCTAGTACCATCCTCCCCATTTCACAGAGGGAGAAACTAAGGCAACAAGAGAAGTGATTTTCCCAAGCTCACACAGTGGGACCGTGATCCTGTGATGTGGCAAATGCCCTCAACGCCTGCTGCTGCGGGCCAGATGGTCAGAAGGGTTCAGGGTGTCTGGGGCTGAGCCTTCTTGAAAATCTAACCTGTAAAGGCCTGCTCTGGCTTCTGCTCCCACTGCAGCCAGGGACAAACTTTGCATTGACTGCAAGGAGAGCAGGGTCAGCCCCTTCAATGGGGAGATGTCTGGGTTTGGCACTTTGCAGGATCGGGCCCAAAGCTTGCACTAAACACCCGTTCGCCTGCCTCCCATTGTTGCCCTTGACCTGTCAGCCCCTGGTGAGCTGATCTGGGAACAATGGAAGCTTTGTTGCTCATTTCCATCATCTTGTCTGTCCCGCCACCCTGTCACTGGAGTAACGGGCTGTCTGCTGCCGGGGATGGGACCATGCGGCGTGACTGACTGTGCCCACCGCCTCTTTCCCAAGGGCCGGAAGCGTGTCAGGAGAGCTGCTCACGCTCGCTCCAGCAGAGCCCAGTTTGAGTTCTTCAGCTGATCGTTCATTTGCACTGTGGAAAGGAGAGTGCGAGAGAAACCAAGCTTTACAGGGAATAATCAGTCACCCAGGGCACGCTGGAGATCAGGCAGGTTGCCATTTGAAAAGGAAATGTCACCCCAAATAATTATTGTCCCTGGAGCAAGAATGGCCTCTCCTCCACCAATATTCATAGAAGGTTTCATTTATGGACAGTGAGGATGGCCTGCTAGCCCCAGGTCCAGCCTGCTCTGGGATGTTTCCTCCCCCTTCCTGGGTGATATACTGCACCCAGTCCCTGCTTGGTCCTAAAATCCCCTCAGTGGAATCAGTACCGAAGAGCTCCTGCCCCCGTCTGTTCATCCCAGCCCTGTCTCCAGTCCTAGAGCCGGAGGCATTCACATCCCAGCGCCTGCCTGCAGGAGGCAAGTGCCAACGTGAAGCGAAACGGATCTCAAAGCAGGCTGGGGATCGCCTGGCAAATTGCAAACCCGCCTGCCGCTCCCATCCCACCCGACTCTCGATCCATCCGTCGGACCCGGCCCCGCAGCAGCGTCCTTCGCCTGTCGGATTGTAACCGCAAAACAAACACAGCTGCTCGCTTTGGAGACCGAGACACGCTGGCTCTCTTGATTCCGGGCTGCTTTCACCTGCGGGCCCCCACCCCCGGCTAGACCGATCCCAGCCCCGGGTCTCCAGGCACCCACAGCCTCCCGAGCGGGCTTGCTGTTGTCTCACAGCTACCGGAGTTGGCTTTAGGAGTGACAATAGCTAGGGACGGATTGTTTCCTCGGGATGGTTTTTAATGCAAGCCCCACGTTGCTCAACCCGTGTGGAAGGACCCACGTGTGCGTGCTGGGGTGGGGTGTTACATGCATTCCGGGGGGGTGGGGTGTTTAGAGGCAATTTGTATTGCTCTCGGGGGGGGGGGAGTCAATGCAGGATGCTCTGCTCCCGGGGGGGGGGTGCAGGCTCTATTGGGAGGGGATCCGCGTTACTTTCTGGGCGCGGGGCGGCTGGGGGGGGGGGGTTAATGCCATGCTCTGCATCGTTTTCCGGGGGGTGGGGGAGCTTGTCAATGGATCACGCCCTTGCTCCCTGGGAGAGTTCGTGCAGCGTGCCCGGCTCCCTGGGGAGGGTGAGCGCGCACAGGCAGCCCGCGCGGCTCTCTGGGGGGTGCGAAGGCTGCCCTGCGCCCCCGGGGCGAGCCCGGGCCAGGGGCATTCCCCGCTCCGAGGGGCAGCGGCGTGAAGCGCAGCCAGGCGCGCAGGCGGACCCGGGGCCAGGGAGGGGGGCGGGTCCGCGCGCAGCCGCCCCTCTCCCTGCCCCTCGGCGGGGCGGACCGCAGCTGGAGCCCCGGGGGCTGGTCCCCGCCCCTGCCCGGCTGCCATTGGCAGCCTGGCTGGGCTCGGGCGCTCCCAGTGGCTGCCGGAGGTGGCCGTCAGCGGGAGGCAGCCCGGAGCCAGCCGGGGCAGAGAGGCGGCCGGGGGATGCGCCGGGCACGGCGCGGTGGGGCCGGGGCCGGGATGCTGCGCCCGCTCCCCTGCAGGCGGCTGGCCCAGGCTGCGCGCTGAGCGCCCCGCTCCCGCCGCCCCCGCGCCCCGGAGCCGGCCGCTGCCCAGCCGGAGGCATGTCCAGGAAAAAGACCCTCAAGAGCAAGGGGAGCAGCAGCTCCCCGCCCTCCTCCGCGCTGCCCCCCGCCAAGGAGAGCGGCCAAGCCGGCGGCGCGGCGGCCAGAGCCAAGGGGGGCAGCAGCCGCCCCAGCCCGGAGCTGCCCCTCAACGGGGCGGTGCTGCCCAGCCGGCCCTCCCTGAGCAGCAGCGGGGAGTTCTACGACGTGGCCTTCAAGGTAAGGGCAGCACCCGGGCACCGACCCCAGGGCTGGAGCCTGGAGCGCCGGGCAGGGGCGCACGGGGACCAGGGTGCCGGGGAGCCCGGGGCTGGGGAGGGGCGCACGGAGTCCGGGAGGGGACCAGAGTGCCGGTCAGGGTCTCACGGAGCCCGGGGCCGGGGAGGGGACCAGGGTGCCGGTCAGGGTCTCACGGAGCCCGGGGCCGGGGAGGGGACCAGGGTGCCGGTCAGGGTCTCACTGAGCCCGGGGCCGGGGTGGGGACCAGGGTGTCGGGCAGGGGCGCACGGAGCCCAGGGCCGGGGAGGGGACTGGGCGCACGGAGCCCGGGGCCGGGGAGGGGACGAGGGTGCCGGGCAGGGGCGCACGGAGCCCAGGGCCGGGGAGTGGACCGCTGGGCCAGGGCGCACAGACCGCAGGGTTTGTGGGGAGGGCTAGGTTGCTTGGAGGGGACCAGGGTACCGGCAGGGGCGCACGGAGCCCGGGGCGCTGGGAGGGGCGTACTGAGCCTGGGACTGGGGAGAGTAGCCCGGGGTGCACGGACCCGCTGCTGCGGGGAGTGTCCCGGTGCGCACAGGTTCTAGCGGGGGTCGCAGACCCGAGGGGTTGGAGGATCCCAGAGCGATGGGGGGGGAGTTTGGCCCCCAGAACTTAGCGCGCAGGCCCACGGGGAGAGCTGAGCGCGAAGACCAGGCCGCCCCCCAAGTTTTAAGGGCAGGTGTCTGCACCATGTGGGGCGCAGGGACCTGGCGTTGGTTGGCGCGGGCTGCTTAGGGGGTGCGGGGGGGGGCTAGAGGAATGAGCCGGCAGCCCCAGAGACCAGGAGAGGCCAGCGGGGTTCAGGAGTAGGCTGCAGCCCGAGGCCAGGGTGTCCTGGCGCACGGCACAGCCTCGGGAGAGAGCCCTGCGCTGGGTGCCGGCTCGGGGTGCCGGACAGGGGGGTGTTATCCCAGAGCGTCGTGCACTTGGGCCCGTCCGGGAGTAGGGTGCAAGGTGCAGAGAGTCGGGGTGGCGGGTCGGGCTGTGGCTGCAGAGAAGGGGAGAGGGGGGAACCACCTCCAAGGGGGAATGGGAGCGGGTTACCGCTGGGGGCGGGGTGGCTGGACAGGTTAAATGACCCCCCCGACCCCCCCTCCCCAGTCAGGCAGAACAAGCTGGCCCCTGGCGATGGGTCAGGGGAGGCTTGGGGAAAGGGAAGGGATCCGCACGGGGAACAGCAGCTCCCTCGATCTTCCTGGCCCTCCCCAGCCGCGAGTCTCCACGCAAACTTTGTTCCCAGGGAGGCTGGGCAGGGTCGGAGACGGGTGGGAAGGCGAGGCTGGGACCGAGCCCTGCAGCTTCACTCTGTGGACGGAATAGAGCCCGGGAGCTCGGATCAGAGAGCCATGGAGCTGCACCTTAGCAGCCGCTGGGCAGCGGGGGAGTTGGGCTGGGTACAGAGGAGGGTCTCCCTGGAGCCAGGGGGAAAGGGCAGATCTTCGTGTGTGTCCCGTCCCCCCCCCGCTAAAAAACCCCACCCCCAAACCTATCCCCTGGCACCTAGCTTGCCTGTCCTGCTACTGCTAGGACTTCCCCCTACAGGGCTCCAGGAAAAGTTCCCCTACCCGGCACAGACCCCTGGCTGCAGTGAGCTCTGCAGGGCAGAGATTTTCCTTTGTTTTTCACCTACACTTCATTTTACCCTGGACATCTGTGTTAGCATGTACAGCAATCCCCAGTGGCTGGCACAGGTGGGTCAGGAGCATGTCCTCCCTTTCCCTGTTAGGCAATTCCCAGAGCGGCACCCTACTAGGCTCCATTCTTCTGCAACCTCTCCTGGCCCCCCACCCCCAATCCACCCAGTGATGGGTCTGCAAAATGTGGTTGAAAAGAAAGAGCTGAAGATGTTCATGTCTTAACAGCCTGGTAACAAGATGTATGGTCAATTGTAGGCCGTAAGGAACATTGGCGTTAAGGGGTGCGGTGTTTCCCTTTGTGATCTTGTATCTTGGTAGCGTTCATTGGAACTTTAATAAGTCCGTGGCCCCCGTGTACAGTAGTGGCTCTTCCTTTGCCTCTAGAGTTCTAGAAGTGACCTGTTAGGATTCTCTGCACGGCAATGGTGCCTCTTGTCCCCAGTCATTGTGCTCTCGGTGCTGTACGAAGAGAGAACCAAAAACCTGCCCACAGGGGGTTGTGCAGACGGCCACTCCAGATACAGTTCCTCTCTGTGTTTGTGGGAGAGCACTTCTCTGAAAACCGTACTGGGAAGGGGCACTGTTCAGATAATCTCCCCTCTACACCCCGAAACATCCTCATTTCGGAGTCTTCCTCACTGGGCTGCAGCAGTGAAATTAGGCCGGTCAGTTTCCCCCTCTGAGTCTCAGGCACAAGTAGAAAAGAAGGACTTGTGGCACTTTAGAGACTAACCAATTTACTTGAGCATAAGCTTTTGTGAGCTACAGCTCACAATTGGTTAGTCTCTAAGGTGCCACAAGTACTCATTTTCTTTTTGCGAATACAGACTAACATGGCTGCTACTCTGAAATCAGGCACAAGTGACAGGGATACAGCAGGTGGTTTTAATGCAAATCACTTTCCACCCCCCTTAAAAATCCTCCTTTTCTATTGACCTTTTAAAATGACGAATGCAAAGCTTTCTGTTGCAATCAGGTATTGGAACCCTCTGGTTCCCCCTTAACAGCATCGAAACTTGGCTTCTAAACCAAGATGACAGCGTTCCTCTAACCAGCTGCAATGTGCTGATTCTGCCTGCTGCCGATGGAATTTCATTAGTTTGTACCTTTAGCTTGTTCTGTGTCTCTTCCGTCTTTCTAGGGCACCTATCACCACTGGATGTAAGTGTCTGTTCCAGTGCAGTCACAGGGCCCTCTGTGCACCCACCTTGGAGCGCTCTGGTTTTGTTTGGCCTGAATCTGTAATTTCAGTGTCCCAGCCTGCTCTGAGCCTTGCCTTTAACCCAGTTCCCTCTGGCATTGAGGATCAAGCTGTGTGGAAGCCAGTGCTTGTTGCAGCAAGGTATGAATCTTGGTGCAGTGTACAAAGAGACTTGGTGCCTTTGGCACCCCGCATGGCCAGGATGCGATTGAAATTCAGCGTGTGGCGTGACACATCATTGCCTTTGGCCAAAGTGAATTCAATACTCTTGACACATCCACAGCCCTGGAGCCTGGACGGTTCTGTTTCCTCTCCAGAAATGGTGCAGCAGAGGTGACAGCCGCTCAAGCTTCCCTGCCTCGGCCCGAGCTTGCCAGGCTCCTCTCTCACTGTCAGTCTCTCTGATCCATCCCCGTCCTTGGCCTCTGCTGAGATGGCCAGCAAGGGGGCCAGGGACCGTCCACTGCCACGGTTTTCCTGACTGGAACACCTGCTCCATTAGGAACTGGACAGAAAACACCAAGAGGTTTCAAATAAGCCAAAGAGCTGCCAGCAGGAGCCACCAGCCTCTGACCGAATTTGGTCTGTCTTTGTTTTTGAATGAGTGACAGAGATGAATGGCCCCTCAGCTCATAAAGAGCTGATTTGTACGACTCTTATTCCCAGTCACCGGAGGGCTCTAGTCCACACTAGAGGTCGTTGCTGTGTACAGAAGAACAAGGCAGAGTCGACACTCTGATCTCCAATACACTAGTGTACAGCGGGACTGACTTCAGGTCAATAGAGTGATGTTCGCATATAACCTGAGGTCAGAATCTGACTCCTAGGACCTTCCCCATCTCACATTCTGGCAGCTGCCCAAGATAATGAGAAACTTAATGCATCTGTCCAAATCCAAGTGCCTTGCTAGAGAGTCGGTGTCTGTGAACCTATAAAGATTAGCCACTGTCCTGTCCTGTTCCCAGTTCATGAGTGGGACTGGTGCAAGTGAGATTTGTCCTGCTTTGCCTTTTGTTGTGCATAACAGCCCAGTGTGGACTTTGCTGATCTCGCTAAATGTCCTGCGCTTGGGCAGACTCAGAATTCCAAGTCTGAAGCTGAGAAGTGAACTTGGAACTGGCCCTCTTGCCAGAAACCCAGCACGGAACTCCCTCCTGCTACGCAAGCAGCTATCTTAGCCCCAGAGACACGATTGTTTGTTACACGACCCCGAGTGAGACTGATCTGCGGAGAGCTAATCTTTGTAAGGGAAGCCATCTGCTGCCTGGCTGGGTTGACAAGCGCTGGTTTTAAGGTTATAATGTGTATAACATTAAGGGGGGGGGGGTGCACATGTATCAGATTTTTGAGCATAATGCTTTTGGGTACTGTTAAGATTTACACCCTAAATAATAAGAGCGGGGTGGAGGATGGGCTGGTGCTCAGGCACAGAACTGGCAGGATGAAATCCTGGCCCCGCTGAAGTCAATGGGAGTTTTGCTGCTGGAGTTGCACCCATGGTTTCTAGTCCCGTCTTCGTCAGTGTCCCCGCTGAGTGATCCTCAATAAGTCAGTTGGGGCCTGATCCAAAACCCACTGAAATCAAAGCTAGTCACTCTGCTCACTTCAGCGGGCTTTGGAGCAGGCCCGCAGAGGTTCTGGGCATCCACAAATTCCAATGAAGCTAATGGAAACTGCAGGTACTCAGCACCCTTAAAATTAGGCCACTGACTTCTCTGGGCTGCATCCTGCTCCACTGCCGTGAATGAGACCTGAGTGCGACTGTTACCGTTTCCCTCTCTGTAAAACGGAGACGAGGCCCAGATCTTCAGAAGCTTTCGGCCCCGTTACTGACTTGTGCTCATGCTCCTGTTAACGGTGTGTAGCATCTAGGCTTGAGGACAATCTTTCCGAACTGTACATACTGGCTGTACTTCATAAGAGTGTCCTGAGGGTCTATCGAGGGTTATTAACGTGTGTTTTAAAAATTGCCTGGTTACACAGGATGTCCGGTTAAATAACCTACATTTATTACACCCAGAATAACTAAGGGCCAGATTCTGTTACCCTTACTCCTCCTGCAGTCCCAGTGACTTGCATGTAATGTAGGAATTGCCATAGTGGATCAGACCCAAGGTCCATCTACACCCGTATCCTGTCTCCGAGAGTGGCCAGTGCCAGGTGTTTCAGAGGAAGGTGGAAGAACCACACAGCAGCGGATATGGGATAATCTGCCATCCATATGAGGGGTCATCCTGGTCTCTAAAAGTCCGAGTTTGGCTTAAATCCTGAACTATGAGGTTTAATGTCGCTAACAAAAATTTTGGAAGGAGTAACTTGTCAAACTGTCACCAGTCCGTTTTGCAATCTTGCTGAATTCTTGGCCTTAGCAGGTGGCAATGAGTCCCAAAGTCTAATTACGTGGTGGGTAGAAAAAAATAGTCACTCTTATCAGTTTTGCATTTACCACCATTCTGTGTGATTAAATGGATCACTTGATGATTCCCTCTTATGTTCATTCCCTCTGGGGCACCTGACATTGGCCACTGTCAGAAGACAGGATACTGGGCTAGATGGACCTTTGGTCTGACCCAGTGTGGCCGTTCTTATGTCCCCTTATTTTTCTGTTCTGAGACAGGGAGAACAGAAGCTCTCCTAGTACCTCTGTCTAATGAAAGTGATCGACATTTGTAACATACTGTCATGTGCCAGGGTCCTGAATTTATCTGCTGTAAGCGTCATGTGAACAGCAGCATTTGGCCATTGCAAGGCAGATTCATGGATGTCGTAGCAATCTGTACTGGGTATTTTCTTCCTTTGGTCGAAGTCAGACACCAAGGGGGTGTCTCTTCAATCTCAGACAAATGATTCTTTTTAATTTTTTTTTTTAAATAGAAAACTTGTTCCCACTCTTGGCCTTGAGTAAATGTGAATCTAACTGTAGCCCCAAGCCTGCAATCACAGAGGCATGCGTCTAACTTTGAGTGCATGAGTAATCCCGTTAACTTCAGTGGGGCCTACGGTGCTGGAACCAATCTCAGTAGTTACGTTTCCCTTAAGGAAAACCCTCCTCCTCCTTTTAAAAATAGTATCTAACTTTGCATTGTGCTTGTTTTTTTGTTTTTTAGGTGATGTTGGTTGGTGACTCTGGGGTTGGCAAAACCTGCCTTCTGGTGCGGTTTAAAGATGGCGCTTTCCTGGCCGGCAGCTTCATTTCGACAGTTGGAATTGACTTCCGGGTAAGGTGCTATTGAACAGCTTTATACAATGTTGCTTTTTTTGTGTTGTTCCCCCCCCCCCTTCCTGTATTCAACTATTCTGTGAGTGGCAAATGCCAGCCTCCGAGCTCTCAGGGGGATGAAGATTTTCTCTAGGGCTGCTGCTAAAGCACACTCAGGGTTACACACGCATGCTTTGCGCAGCCGTTGCTTTATTTATCTGCTTTAGTGGAGTGTCCGAATGTGATGACTTGCCATCTCAGGGTGTGGGAAAACGCGTCTTCTGTTGCTGTACGCGAGCAATAGCCTGGGAAATGCCACTGGGAGAAGCAGAAGCTTCATGGTTTTGTTTTAAGATGCTGCTTCTATGTATGTGTATTGTGATGTCATAATCACAGGCATATGACCTCACTGCAGGGTCTAGCATGAGTTGAAAACCTTAGTGGGTAGGAGAGAGCTTCATTCAGACCCAGATATCTACGATGTTAACAATGGGAGCAGTGCTTGATTTGTGCCAGGGCTGAGCCCGGGCACCTCTGGGCTTGGCAGTCCAGAGCCCCGGCACCTCTGGGCTTCCTGCATCAGTTATGAATGTAGAAAGCATTGCTTGAGCTCCATGACAAATTAAGCACTGAATGGGACACAGGAAACTACTGGCAGAGGGAATGTTTTTTGTTTAATCTCCACCCTGCCCACGGTTCTTTTTCAAAGTCTGCTTGAGGGCAGTGCTTCCTTTTCAGATATGCCTGGTGTACGTGCAGTGCATCAGCCGCCGAGCTGTGGGAAGGGCTCCCTGGCGCACCAGAGGCAGCATCTGAAAGTGTGTCTTGTTTGTCTGCCTTACGGTGTGTGTTACTCTGCAGCAACCACACCCCTTTAGGCTGATCTCCAAGGCAAAGGAGAGTCAAGCCTGGTCCAATGACATGGGGACCCACCAGCAAAGCAGACCAGGGCACTGCTGGAAGTGATGTTGCTGACACAGGGGATACTTGTCCCTCTGAGCCTGTGTGACCCCGGGTCCTAGCACAGTTCTGGGCAGCACAGGTGCTGGTCAGTTCATAGAAGTTCTGAAACAGAGGTCCTGATCACGCACGGTTATTAAACGGCCACATAGCATCCTTTAGTCACAAATTTCTGATAGTGTCTTGGGTAACTACATTCTATGTGCCTGCATTCCTCCTGTTTTAATTTAATACAGTAGCCACACTCCAGGAAGTCATGTGCTGTTCAATGGACACAGACAAGTGCAATTTGTCCCCAGATTTAAGTTTTATTTTATAAGCTTTTTTAAAAAGAAAAACAGAAAGCCAATCAAAATATTTCTATCAATATTAAAAAAAAAAAAACTTAAATGGAAACAATTTTTGCAAACACAAAATTCCCTTGCAGCATTTGCAACCAGAACTTTGCAGCGTCATGCTTGTGCATGGGAGGGAAAATCAGTGGCAATTGACTGTGACTGTCCGATCTATTTTCTTTGTCTGAGCTGAGAAATGCAAAAAGTAAAGATGCAGCATAACCAGTGTCTCGTTAATTAGCTGTGTAAAATTCCTTCAGGTTTAGTAATCCAAGGTGGTGTGAGTAAGAGAGAGGAAGCAATTCCATTCTCTTAATAGTATGATTATTATTTTTAGACCACACTGTCCTTTTAAACAGCTGCTACATTTCTCCCCAGAGGTGCTTGCGTTGGTAAGGTGCGTATGTATCGATTGGGATGAGAAGTACTATATCAATATGAGAGACTGCATATTGTCCAGGAACCTGTTGCCAATCCATGATATTAAAGAAGGCCTCCTTTTTTATAGTGGGTATCCCTTGGGTTTGAAATTGGGGGTTCACCACCACCTGCCTTTCCCAGGTTGTTAAAGGGGAGGGGAGTCCCCGCTGGAGCCTGCTACCTGGAGTTGAAGGGGAGGCTCTGGGGGACCCCGGTATGGAAAGGTTGAGAGTCACTGGCATATCATTGTATGAGTGGGAGCAAATGATGACGGGAACTGCTCCAGCGCATAGAGCAGGTGAGCATGAATAAAGAGTCTTTCAAACCTGGAGGGGCTGGGAAAGGAGCCTGCCTCGGAAAGGTGGCTGGTAGCGCTTTCACTTCTCAGTGCCCACATCTCCTCGTTATCTGCGAGATGCCCAGCACGTGGACGGAGCTGGGATGCTTCGCTCTCCTGCAGCCCCGCCTCTGGAGCCTGTAAACAAACCTGCTGCATGAGCAGCTCCGCCGAAGAGACCCTCCCTGAGCCCATCGGTATTCCAAACCTGTCGTGTCCACAGAGCCTGGATATGAATGGGAATAATGAGGGAATGAAATGTATTTGTTTCCCGCCATTAGCATGAGACATAGCGTTTACCTGAATATTAAACAGAAATAAACAAGAACCCAGCAGACTGAGAGAACAGCTGACGGCAGCGCGGGAAGCTCGCTTTGGTGAGCTGGAGAGCATGTTGCAGCAGATCCTGCGTCGTTGCTTATGGCAGCCTCGTGTTGTTGAGTTGCACGTTTCCGGCGTTGTCTCAGCATTTCAAAGCCCCTTGGCTCCCTGGTGTATTGGCGTGGTGTATGCCAGCTCCTCAGCTGCATTTTCCCATTCAGGGCTGAGAACTGACACCTCGGGCACCCCCGTCTAACTCAGCCTTGCTGCTAAATTTCAAGGAGCCCTTTAAACGTGCCACCGCACAGCTCCAGCTTTCCAAACAGTCAGCCAGGGAAAATATTTCTCTTTAAGCATAATAGTTTGGTGTACGTTTAGTGCTGGTGACTGCCCCGGAGGCTGGAGACCTCAGTTTATCTGCTGAACAGCTAAACCATGGACAGCCACAGCACATGCTTCAGACAACCCCCATGTGCCTTGATGGGTCTGCTCTTACCTGGATGTGACCAATTCAGGGAGCAAGGGAGTTCCGCCTCCCTGGCCTGCTCAGCCTTTGGGATTTCCAGCAAGGGATCCAGTTGCGGCCCGGACAGGTGGTAACAGATTCTTTCCAAACAACCCATGTTTCTAACTGGCAATTCTCTCTGCTGTGAAGGGCTTGTTCTTTAGGGGTGACCATGCCACGCTGCTGGTGAGCTGGGATCGAGCTCCTGAAGGCTGGATGTCCTTTCAGCACATCCAGAAGAGGTGAGTAATTCTCTTCGGCATTAGAGATTTGTGCTGCCATTTCTCAGGGCAGCCCCCAGGATGGCAGCCTCTTGCCATCAGGGCCCTGCCTGTCTCCAAAATGACCTGTTTGTATCATTTCATGTTTTATTTAAGGGACAGCAGTCCAGAGAGAGGAGACTACAAGGCTGTGAAACCAGCTTTTTATGAGAGAGTAAATGTCCGAGAGTAGTTGTTTAGTGGAGTTTGGCTCCATGAACGTTCCAAGAAAAAGTGAGCTAAGGTTTTCATCCAGTTGTGGTTCATAACCATGTGATCCAGTAACCTGGAGAGACAAAGGAGGGGATGCCCATGTTCTCCTCCCTCTTATATGCGGGAGGCACAAAGCTGCTGCCTTTTGGGGATATTTTGCAGACTAGAGGGTCTGCCCATGCCCCTCCAATGTGTCTCTCTTTTTAAGGGATGATACTTGTTTTGGTCACAAAATTTCCTCCATTCCACCTGGATTTTGTGTCCTCCCCTCGCTCTTATTGTCGAATGATTTACCCCAGTAATGAAGAATCACAAAGCTGAGGTTGTAGGCAGTCCTCTGCACTAGAGGAAGGAATCCGAAAGGGAGGAAGCGTTTCCAGTCTCTCGTGTGAATCATATTTTGGTGTCGTACATTGAGTTCGGCTTGTGTTCGGCTCTTCAGAGATTGTGGGTGTGTCTTGGGCCTTTGCTGCGCGCCCTCTTCCAGTCAACAGAAACCATTTAAAAAACAGGTTTCAAGGGTGTCCACACAAGGGCATGCACTGGTTTAGCTAACTTGGTTTAAGAACACACCTTTAGTTAAACTGGTACGAGTTTGCGTGTAGACCAAGCCTTAGGTGATTCATTGGGCCTGTGAGTGGCCAACGGGAGAAAGGCACAAAGTAAGCAGACCACTAGCCAAGGATTTTGGTGTCACTTGTCTGGAGGAGGACAGTGGTCTGGTATTTCTGGTCCGTGCTTGTCTAACACTCTGCATGGAACAGAAAAGTACCCTGGGATTAGCTCCAAATTCTTCCCCAGATCCACACCCACACAGGTCCAGTCGGGGCAGAGCTACGTCTGTGTCCTCCTTCAGAGCTAACTGAACCCACCATCCCAAGTTCCTGACACTCCTTATAGGTGAGCTAACGGACCTGTTCCTAGCGAATAATCGGTTTGACTTTCACCCTCTCCTCCTGCCTGTGAATGATGCATGAACTCATGCTGATGACTATGAACCTGTTCGTTGTAACTGTACAAACTTTGTACAAACATGCTCCAGCTTATGGGTTATTTGGTTTAACCATGGCTCTGAATATGTGGGGTGTGATTGGTCACTGAAGCCAAATGGTATCGTTGCTGTTTCCTAATTGGATGACTGATTTTTCCGTCCCCTCCTTTTTTTTTAAAAGAGGAGAGCAGTCAAAAAGATGGCTCCCTGAATGCTTCTGGACGACGTCTCCATGCTGATGCACGAGGCTTTCCCTTAATGTAATCATTGCCCAGGTTTCGCGCTGTGCCTGGAAGGAAGGGAGGGTGGTTTGGGAAGAAGCCAAGAGAGGAGCAGGGTGGGAAGGTGCAGGCGGGGTGCTGGAACAATCTGTATAGTGGGTGTGCTGAAAGCGGTTGAACAGAACTGTAATCCTTGGATGGGCCCTATCCTTCAAGCCAGGGGGTGCTGCTGCATCTTTAGTTCCAGTCCTTCAGGGTGGGGGACGACTGAACAGGGGGGCTGCAGATGAAGGAAAAGGACCATGAGTGGGAGATGTGGCTTTTTGTGTGCGGTGCCCAGACACAGGGGCTGAGCCGTAGAACTGAGCAGTAGTTACAGAGAAACGAAATGTATGTTGCGTTGAATCCAGCCAGACGTCATTCATGCTTCTTTTTTGTTCCAAAACTAGAACCACC